GTACGTGTCGTCCAAGAACGCCAGGCAGTCCCCCTCGACGTCCACCGCGCGCACGGCCATGCGACCGATGCTGAGGTCATCCGCAGCGCCGACCGCGTAGAAGCCAGGGCTCATAGGGCAGCCCTGGTCGAGGCCGCGGATCTGGTCGACCAGCTGGGCAGGTTGAGACCCGCCACCCGCCGCGCGGCGTGTGCGAGCAGGGGGCCAGGCCTCCGCCAGCGGCGCCAGGGCGGGCACCTTGGAGCGCACGGCCTCCTTAACGAGGTCACGGGGGATGTTGCTGAACGCGTCCCCGAGGTCCACCGCCGCCGCCCACTTGCCAGGGCTCGAATTGGCCATCGTACAGAGGCGTCAGTGGAAGGCACCGCAGCCGCCCTTAGCCAGGCCGAACTGTTGGCCCCCCACCGCCGCCCGCATGTCCGCGTGATTGACCTTGGCCGCGCTGCGGCCAACCATGCGGCGGGCGACGTTCCCACAGCCCAGGACTCGCACGTCCCCAGGAGTGGCCTTGGGGACGCCTGCGAGGCGCGCCGCGGTCAGGGCGGCTAGAGCTTCAGGAGGAAGGTCGCCGATGACCAGGCGCGCCAGCGTGTTGGCCACCGCCTCCGCTCCGTTTTCGTCGTGCTTGAGCGGAGCCCAGCGCTCGCAGCGTCCGCCCCCAGGCCCCGTGCCGCCACGGCGGGGGAAGCGACCAAACTGGCGCTTGAAGTGGTAGGCCACGCGGTGGTGTAGCTCCGCCGCGCCGAGGAGCTCGTGGGGGGGCGTGGCTGGCGGCGTCGCCACGTCGGCCCCCGCCGCGGGGGGTCCCCCCCCTGGCCCATGCGGGGCGGCCCCAGTGCCAGGGGGAGGGCCCCATTCGCCTGGGCGAGGCGCCGCAGGCTGCTGGGCGGTGCTAAACTTCCGAACCACCGCCGCCGCATCCGCCATATCACCCTGGGGCCACACTGCCGCTGCCGCCCGAGACATTTCGCCCGCTCGCGCGAGCTCAGTGACACGGCGAACGCGGGCCGCGACGTGGTCTTCGCGGCCCTTCGCGGTGACCGAGGTGCGCGTCTGGTCCTCCATGGAGAGCCAGGCGACATCCCATTGGCCGTCCTGGATCCACTGCAAACGCTCCTGGAAGCGTTCTCGTCGCGTCGTCGGGGTCGGGGTCGCGCTCTCGCTGAAGAGCAGCCCGTCCAGAGCCAAGAACACCTTCCACAAGCGCGTCAGCGTGCGCGACGCCAGGCCGCCACCACCCTGGCGGGCCTGCTCGATCACCAGGCGCAGCCGCACCTTCACGTGGCTAACCGCGGCGGCCATGCTGTCAGGGATCATGGCCGCGGTGGGCGCGCCCTGTAGCAGGGCGCGGCCCCGCCCGATGGTGCCCCACCAATCCAGGTTGACAAACCGAATCTCATGGTACGCATCTTCGTCAGCCACCTGGTCGTCCAGGTAGTCATCGCAGACGCCTGCTTCGAGCCCCCCGTCGTCGTCCGCGGCCGCGGGGGCGTCGAGGGGCGGCTGCGGGATGTCCGCGGGAGACGGCGCCTCTGCCTCGGCTGCCACCGGGGGGCCCCGCGGGGGCCTGGGCCATGCGCCCCTGGCGCGGCGGCTGCAGGGAGCCTCGGGGCGACCCCAGCACCCCCTGCCGCGCCGTCCCCCTGGGAGGGGGGAGTGGGCACCTGGCCTTCGACCGTCTCCAGCAGGGGCAAGATGGGGCCGCCTCGGGCGTCCAGAGCGGCTGTGAGGCGTTCCCTGTCGCCCTCGGGAAGCTGCGCGTAGCCCTCCATCGCCGTCGCTGGTGGCAAGGGGCCATCCGCGCAGGTCACGTGGAACCGCTTCTTGCCCGCGTGCGCCTGGGAGCCCACGGGGCGCGTCACGACGCCTGCCACGTGCCACTCGCCCGCCTCGAAGCCTCCCATGCAGCGGGCGCAATGGGCTTGCTTGCCGCGGGTCGCCTGGGCGCTGACGCACCAGCGAGTGATACGTCCTCCCGTCATGCGGCGCCGTCGCTGTGCCGGCTGACCTTCACTGTCCCGCATGTGGACGTCGGTGCCGCCGTCCACTGGGGCTTCTGGAACGCTTGCATCGGCCGATGCGAGTGCGGCAGCGGAGGAGCAAGGGGCGGCCCCGGCACCTCCGCTGCCCGCTGCGGCTGCCAGCGCACCGCCTTCACCTCGGACCGCCGCGTCGTTACTCCCAGCCACTCGAGCCCCTGCACCTGCGTCCGCAGCGCCGCCAGCGGCCGCCGCCATCCCGGGACCTCCCTTCAGGGCAAGGAAGGAGTGTGCGCAACGGTATGGGCACGAGAAAAGGAAGGGTGGCTGTCACCCGCGGTTTGAGGGCAGCAGTAGCCCCCTCGCCCACAGGCTCCCCAGAGCCTTGGGGGGGGGACTACAACAACAACTACTACAACAACAACAACAACAACAGCAACAACAACAACAACAACAACAACAACAACAACAATCACTTTACCCGAACGCTCAGTGTTCTCACCAGTGCCAGGGTTTTCATGCGACGCCAGCCAATACCCCCACTTTGTGGGGGGGCAGTGCAAGCTCTACCAAATATCCACACGACTCTTCGCCACCACCCACACCCAGCTTCCCGCCCTATGACGTTCGGACACTTCACTTCGTGGCCTGCGGACGACCGTGGCTACTACACTGGCGTGGAGTACACACCCACAGAAGTTGTTAAGCCTACGTTCGTACACCCACAGAAGTTGTTAAGCCTTGTTAACCCAAAGAAGCCATTCGGACAGCGCGCGCGGGTAGAAATTTTGAAAAGTCGTGCAGGTGTTTTTCGAGGACCTACGGTGCGATTCGTGTGATTTTATGATGCGCGGTGCTAAAATTCTTAAGAAGCCCAATGGTTTTTGGAGATTTCGGCGTGCGCGCGCGAAGAAAAAACGAATGTGTCCCGCATGGTATTATTTGACAGGGATGATGGCCCTGGCAGGTGCGCAACCGTTGTCGCAGAAGTTCGAAAAAGTTGCTCGCAAAAGCCCGTTTGACAGAAATGTTTAAAAAGTGTTGGGTTTCCTACGAATCCGCAAGAGCGCGCGGGATGAGATTTTGACATTTTTTTGTTGAAAAACCATTGGTTTTTTGATGTTTTTATGTTAAAATCGCTCCGAACACTAAGCTTTTGGAAGGATTTCGTCTTGCGCGCGCGAATGTCCACTTTACCTTATTTTTTGCAAGGGATTCTTGAAATTTGATTATATTAGAACAAGAAATGTCATTTTATAGTGTTTTTTGCAAGGGAAAACGGATTACAACAAAACAACCGGATCTGGATCACATCGTTTTACCTGAGGCTTCCTCACGAAAATGATGAAAATGTAGCTGCGGCCTAGGCGGCGCAGGGGGGGCGTGCACCAGGGGGCCCAACAATAATTATTCTTTAAGTAAATAATATTCAAACAA